ATCCCACCATGTTTCCATGATGGCAACTAGATTATAATTTTCCTGCTGCACAACGGCTTCCAGCTCCTCCTGTTTGTTGCCCATGCTGCATGCATTGGGGTAGATGCAATTTAGTTGGGCTATTGATCCTGCCACCTTTGGGCGCTTCCATGGTTTCAATATCAATAACCTTTGTGTCTTTGCTGCCGCATGGATCTCCATCCCCTACCTCCACTGCGACGGCAGACCAAAGGACCTTGCTAGCACACCGTCCCTCAAACATTGGTGTGCCGCCCCAGGCTTATCTCTAGCAAGACCGGTTTTATCCCTTTCCCTTTTTCAAATCTAGTTTAAAGCTCTTTCAACGAGCCCTGCTAACTCCCGTGCAAAGCTGATTTCCCCCCTTTGAGACAGGTGTACCCCATCTGTTGCCAGCAGGCCTGGTGTCATGTAAACCGACCCATGATCAAAAAACCCAAAATTCTGCTGGTGACACCAGGCTCAGAGCCAGGTATTGATCTGCTGGCTCTTCCTGTTTCTTCCCTCATCATTCCCTGCAACTGGAAGGATAGAGGAGAACACTACTTGTGCTCCTGATCCCTTAACCAGTTGTCCCAAGGCCCTGAAGTCTCTCTTGATTGCCCTTGGACTTCTTGTTGCAACTTCATCACTGCCTACCTGAAAAATCAATAATGGATAACAATCTGAGGGCTGTACTAGGGTAGGAAGCTTTCTCTTCACATCTTTAACCTGGGCCCCAAGGAGGCAGCAGACTTCCCTAAGAAGTGGGTCCGGTCTGCATATTGGGCCTTCTGTTCCCTTCAGAAGGGAGTCTCCTATGACAATGACCCCTCTTTTTTTCTTTATAGAAGCAGTTTTGATGCAGGGCATATACAGCAACATGCCTGAGCCTCGCAGTGTCTATTTTGCATCTGGGATGTCAGTGGTAACACTGGCAATTATACCAAGTTAGGTCTGCTAACAAAGGCAATGACACAAACTTCAGCCATCAAAAAAGTACCAGTATACCCCAAGCAGGCTTGCCCAGTTCATGCAGCTACAGCTTCTGAACTACTTGGTCCCAAATCAACACCACACGTCTACCCTGCTAAAACTGCCACAAACTGCAGCATGAAGACAGCTTCAAAAGCACTCAGCCTGGAGTCAAATCTTTCCCTGCCCACGGGACTCTTCCTCATGCTTGCATCAAAGCATGACAGCTTCACGCTCCCTATAGCACACAGTCTAGTCTTAGCAGGATTAAGGCTGTTTTTCCCAACGGACTCACTCTGCTTTTGCCTGATAGTCCTGTTGGCTGTGGCACTAAATGATACACATACTCAATGAACACCTTGAAAAGCAAAGGGTAGCGTGATTAACTTGGCAGATCAGCCAGTCAGTGCAAAGCAAAGGACAGTGAGTAATAAAGCGTTACACCCCGAGCAACAGCTGAGAAAATGCCAAGTGCCAATGAGATTCACAGATCAGCAAGCACAGAGCTTTACAGTTTTCAGGCATTCTTATACCAAAAGGCACCAACCCAATGACTCTGTTATTGCTAGATGTTTTTAAACTTCCTTCTTGAAGTTGGCCATGCACCCTGGCTGTGATCAAAGCCAACTTTTCTACATAGCTCCTGGTATCACATCCAGCCAAGAATATGGATTGTAAAAGTAATGTCAGAGAAGAGTCTCCAAATGCCTGCACCTCCTCTCCCCAATTAACTTACTGACAATTCAGTTCTCCATCTGCTCCAGCACCAGGCTTTGCCTTGCTGCACCTAGTTGAATCCCTATGCCCCTATCTGATGCGAGTCTGGTGGGATCTCCACTCTGTTCTTGAAAGCTGTCTTGTCTTTCCTCTCAGGTGGGTACTCGAGAAGGCCAGGAAGATTCTCGGTACTCTACGGCCATTGCTGTCACCCCAGAAGTGCCATTGGCTTGGTGCCTGTGCCACCCACGAGTGTTCAGAGAAGCAGATTAGTGTGATTCTCCTACCTTTGTGTATGAGCTAGTGAGCCGGAATGGGAATTGATGGGGTTAGGGTTACAAGCTACAGTCCCGTAATCCATGATCTGATTGCTGCCTTGGAGTCTCTGTAAGAACAGCCACAAGTCACCATCCCAGAAAAGATGGAGGCAAGTAGGGAAGGAAATGAAGAGGGGGGGAAATAAAAAAGAGGAACAGGCAAAAGAAGAAACCAGTAAAATCACCCAAGCATGTGTAAGGCAGCTGTGCCATGTAGAAAAGCTCCACTACCTGCCTCCGTCAGAGCTCTCCACAAAGGCAGCACACAATGCCCAAGCCTAGCTGGCTGCTCCCCTGACTGAGGCATCCATGTTAGTGCAGAACACCAGGTTCAGCCCACCTTCAGTTGGTTGAACACCTGGGATTGTTTGTTAAGCTTGAGAAGCTCAGCCATGTGGAAGTCACATTTGGGGGTGTGGTGGGGTGTCCGTCATGACTTCCTCACAGCATGATTCCTCAGAGGGAAGGAGCTGCCAGTGAAGTTTTTGACTGACTGAGACCTGTTACCTCACACACATCCCTCTGGTTCTTACTGCAGTCAGTTCTGGAGGCTTTTAGGATTATAAAAAATGACACCTGTACCACCTTTGCTCTGGTCTTAACACCCTCCCCCCTCCAACAGCAAGCTCTTACAATTGTATTTATACTAAAAAGATTTATACTAAAAATGGCTTAAGCAAAAGTGTACAATTCATCTGGTGAGAGAAGTGTCTGATGAAGGGAAAGGACCTTACTACTACTAGGCATCATGTTCACTGCCAAAGGACCTTAATATTTCCTGGGCCTTCCACATATGTGTTATGAATTAACTCACAGTGCCATCAGCACCTCTCATTACTACCCTGCTGCCTCAGGGCTTGTGGAGGATGGTTTGACCTTACAATTCATCTTCTGCCTTTGACTTCAGCACTGTTAATCAAGGGATACAAGCAGTTTGGTGTATATCAAAACAGACTGGTCTTTACCCCAGCTCAGCTTAGCTAAGTGTGTTCCAGTTAGCCCCATTCACGCCAGGATTCTGGGAGACCAGTTGTCTTCTAGCTTGGTCCCATAGACCATGATGCTCACCACTGCTAAAATCAGCCAATGTTGTAAGCCTCAGAGCAGAAAAAAAGCAGGAATTCTTTTTAAGTTATGACAAGGCCGGGGGGGCTCTTTTACTCAAACTAGATACATTGCACAACCTTTTCCACCCCCCTCATCTAGTCTAGAATTATATGTGCAAGAACTACTCAAGGCAGCATCAATTGCCTTTACTTATCCACCCTCTGCATTTGTGCTCAGATAGTTCAGTAAAAATAAATAATAAATAAAAAATAAAGTAAAAATTTAAAAAGCATATATTTTGTAATTGAAAATCCACCTTCCTGAGCAGCCGGTCGGAGCAGAGCTGCTTCTTGGACATTCTGGTCTCTCTCCAGATCGGACTGGTTAGATTATCTGGAGGAAGGCAGCACTGTCTTCTGAAAAGAGCTGACTCGAGCCAGCAGAGAACTGAGCTTATGCACTTTGCTAGTCACAGTTGCTGATGGCTTCACGAACGTTGAGCGGACGTCTCTGCTAACGTCCTAGAAGAGGAGCCCAGAGCAATAAGGAAAAGAGCCTCAAACAACCACCAGTCCCCCCCCTTTCCCTCCACGGAGAGCTTCTAAGATTATCCACAGCAATTAGTTCACTGGAGGCCCTCCCCATATGCAAACAGCTGCACTTATTGCACAGCATGCCACAGGGACATCATACCCTGAGCTCTGATGCTCACATATGAACTAGCAGCCTTGTCTGCATCACTGCCCAAAGTGTAGGGAGCCAGGCTGCTCAAGCGCTCGTTTGGGCTTTGCCACCTATCTTCCTCCAGTCCCTTACACTGAACTCCACTTGGCAGCTGAGGACAGGGAATAAGAGGAATAACCTGCCTCCCTAGGGGCCTGGAATAACAGTTACCCAGCTCTAAACAAGGGCAAAGTACTGGAGGGCTCAGCACATTGTCAGGGGAGAGAAGCGAGCACAGTGCTGCCCTACATCTGTCCCTAGCCAATATGAAGATATGTGAAGCCCTGCAGACTCCCAGAGGACCAGACCCTACAGATTCTGCGTGACATTAACAGTAAGCAAACAGAGGCCCCAGCGGCTGGTAGAGATGGGATTACAGCCACCTGTCTGAAAATGCTAACAAGGAGCTTCCCCACAGGTTGGGCAAGAAGCAGTGGCATAGGAGAAGAGAATTGCAGCTGCAATCATAACTCAGAAAGGGCCAACCCCATTCCTAGAAAGCAGAGAGGTTGGGTGTTGTCCTGAGCTAATAGCAGGGGCACAGCAGGGATTGAAGGGGGATTTACTCACTGTCTGTTCATTATCCAAATTGGCCTGCTGTCTTCGGAGATCAGCCTTAATGAATGCTGGGACAGAGGGAGGAAGAGAGATGTGAAGGCAGTTAATTCACCATGCAGAGCCCAAATCAATTTCCCCAGGACTCAAAGGGGCAGCAGAGGCCCCAGAGGAGACAGGAACATGTTACGGTGAGCAAGGGAAACCACTCTCCTGGAGGAGGCAGAGAGCACTTCTGAAACAGGCAGGATAGAGACTCCTTATTGCAGCATGTAGAAGGTGCATCTTTGAGGCCCCAGCCAGCAGCCAGGACAAGAAGCCTTGGATCATCTTTGTAACACAGATCAGATACTTGAAGAAGCACGGCAGCATTGCTATGGGACTGCTGTGTGGGTCCTGCCCTTTCCTGCAGGCACCACTACATACAAAAGTCCTTCAATTCATCTGCCAAGCCTAAGGGGAAGAGTCACAGAAGAGGAACACTGAAAAATTTAACTACCTGTCATAATGGTCCCCAGAAGCAGGAAGGAACAAAGAAAGAGGTTTCCTGCCTTCGTCCCAAAGCGATCCATGATTTGCCCTTGGCCAATGGTGAAGGCAATACCAAAAATCTACAAACAAACAAAGGCAGTGTCAAGCTGTACTGTTATTATAAAGCAGCTCAAACAGTTTCACAGCTTTAACGGAGTATCAGAGCATACAGGACAGCCAAGCTGTTGGCCTAGCGAGCCTAAAGTTTGTTTATAAACACATCCAGAGGCACCTCCTTGCAGCTGATGGGAAGACAGGTGACCCTTAAGGCTGGAATCCCATCTCTCACTGGAGAACAGCCAGGTCCTCGGCTGTTAGGAGCAATGTTGGAAAAGGCAAGGATGACTGGCATCCTGATGGATTTTCCTAAGCAGAAACAGAATGGGGGCCACTACAGAAATGCCATAAGGAACATCATTCAAAAAGCCAGGTCCCGGAGTGCTTAGATCATGGACAAAAAACTACAATTTAATCTCTCTGCCTATAAAGAGGCAAGCAAAGGGAAAAAAGCACACCTACCTGTGCTGCGACATTAAGGAGCCCTGACGATGTTCCTTCTGATTCTGGGTATGTCAACTCTGCAGCAAACTCAAAGCCCAGTGGAAGGTATCCTGTCATGAAAAACCTGTAAAGAAACACACAGAAAGGAAGACTCAGCAACTGCCAGAAGGCAGACTGAAGAGGCACAGTGTAGCCCATATCCCTTTTGGGATGCTTCACTGACTGCACGGGATGTTTCCCCTAGCATTGTCACAGCCCAGGCAGCTGTCTGACTCCCTCACCATGGCACAGGTCTTCCTCCTACTCAATACCTTTGCCCACAGCCACAAGCCATAGAGCCAGGTCAGCAGGGAGCTGCCAGTTGCTACAAGAACAAGGCATTAAAAGCAGCATCTCCCATAAGTAACTCTAAGGGGCATCATCCCCAGCATGGTCAAACAGCCACCCAGGCCCACATGCTTTTCATTCCTGCCCATTGGTCATCTGTGGGGCTGTGGTACCTCTCACTTCCCAAATGCTTTCACTTGATTACCTGGAACATTTAAGGCAGCTGCAGCTGAGCAGGGCCACATTAATGTCCCTGACTAATGAAACACATACAAGAAAGAGAGGGGAAGAGCAGATCATCTTGTCCTTAAACCATGCAGGAGCCACACACAGGCTATGGCTCTCCCCAATCCCTCCTGCACCATGAGCTCTGCCTCCCTGCTCATCCCCTAGCAGCTCACATGTAGAGGAAAGCAGCCTGCACATGAACTTACCCCAGCATGCCCGCAGTCACAAAAACCACCCAGAGGTGGCCTAGGCTCAAAGTGAAGGTGTAGGCTATCATTCCCACCAGAGACATGATATAGACGACTAGTGTTGTCTGTCTGCAAGGAAAAGCAGAGTCAGGGTTTTATTTAATCCAATCCTCCCATTCTTTTCGCCCAGAGATCTTGGTATAGTTTGCAGCACAAAAAAAAAAAAAAAAAAAAAAGTTGCACAGCTGTCTGACACCCTTACCCCAGACAGAAAAACTGGACAGACAGAGAGCACAGAAGGGCCTGCACACACAGCAGGGCAGCAGCAGAAGCAAGAACAGGACCTAGGAGTTTTCACATCCCTACTTCATGACCAGGGGCTTTGCTCCCTGTGGGGTCGGGGCATCACATCTATAAGGAGGCACCTATGAGGCAGCCAAGAAGCTCAGATCCTACCATGGGCTGACAGGTCCCTGGTCATGTACTGTACATTCCTCTTGAGGGAAAGAACAAGAGCCAAATAAAAAGATTAATAATCTTTCCTGGGCACCTTCTGTACTACAACCAGTTGGACACGCTTACTTATAAGCAGGAGCTGAGGTGATTAAGCACTCCCAAGCAGGAAAGCAAAGTGAACACTAACAGTGTTATGGGCCTGTATTTTTCAATGCTATCCAAAACACCTTTCATTGCTGCTCCTTCCTCTGTTTAAACTGCCTACTGTACTTGGAGAGGTGATGTGTAAGCCAGGTTGCCCTCACAGCCTCACCCTCAAGCCTCGGCAGCGTTTAGCGGGACTAGTGTCAGCTCCATGGCCAACGGCGGCTGAACCACAAGCTCTCGTCTCTGGACAGAGGGGACAAAGAGACCCCATGCCCAGGAAGCATGCCAGGCAGATCCTGGGAACAGCCATAGCTGCAGCCTGGCCACGCTGAGGAACATCAGCGGGCTCAGTACTGCGAGACACAGGCAGCAACCCAGGCCAGCTTTACTAGAACTGACACGCTAGCAATTGTCATCCCTGACTAGACACCAAGGAAACTCTTCCCACATCCAAAAAAACCACGGCTCTTTCCAGTACAGGAGGTGGCAAGTAGCCCTTCACAGTACGTAATTTTGGAAAGGAAGGAAGGAAAGGTAAATCCTTTACCTGACTGAAATTCCACCAGGCTCTTGAAAGCAGAACAGTTACCAGAGTTGGCAAAAGATTAATTTTCTGGACATTGTCTTTTAGGAAGAAGTTAAATGTGTAACCACTAGCTACTTGTGTACTTTCTACAAATTTTAGTCTTAATCCATTAAAGAATGTGTTTGGTATCAGTTCCTAGAATTCTACTAAAGAAACTAAACCTCAAACTGTTTTCACTTTTTTTTTTTTCGTTTTTAATGCAAATGACCACCACCAAAAACCCAACCCCAAACGGGCAGCCGATATTATATTGCATGATAAAATGTTTCCAGTACACTGAATTACTACAGATAAAACCAGAATGTTCCAGCTAAGGTTCTGTCCTCCCTCACTGCTGGCAGTGATTAAAGTCAGTGAGTTTCATGCTCCTGCGTCACTTCTTATCCAAATACAAGCCTGAGAAGCTAATTTCAGACTTCAACTATCGAGCCATGCTTACACAGGTTCACCAGGCACATTTAATGCACTGAAAGTCTAAACAACATTTTGCTGTGACAAGTAATTTTGTTTTATGTCAAAGGGGTAGGCAAATCCCTTAACCTCCGATGCTATGTAATTTCTAGAAGATGTTCTTTCCGATGCTTTCATGGAGGAAAAAAGTCAACTGTGAAGGCAGCATAAAGGGGCTGCTTACTTCTGCTATAACTCATTATAGAGAGCTGCTACATGGCCGGCACACAGTCTGGAGGCTGCAGAAGGAGAAGAAATGAAGGATTGACAGAGGAGTTAGAGAGCAGCCCCAGGAACATGGAAGAGAATCATAGAATGGTTTGTATTGGAAGGGACCTTAAAGATCATCTAGTTCAAGAAGCAGGTAAAAGCCTTTCTCTGCTGAATACAGGGTTCCTGAGATATCTCCTGCAAGTTCTTATGCCTCCCATCTCTTGACAAGCGGCCGTGGACTGCGCTGACTCGGAAGCGGGTTCAAGGCTAGAATTACAGCTCCCTGGGCTACATGGACCAAGTTTGAACTGGGTGCTCCTTCCATAAACAGGAGTCTCCAAACTACACGGCAGTCAGTGCTAAAATACAGTGCAGGCCTCCAAGAGGTGGCTGTGACCCTAAGAAGCTTAGTCTTGGCCAGCAGGGACACTTGGCACATGTGGGGTTTTTTTATTTTTTCTTCCCGCAGCTATTTTTGGTCTCAGTGCAGAGCTCTCCAGATATTGCCACAAAATCTCACCCAGTTTCCTAGGCTTATGGTTCAAGTATTCTAAGTAGTTTGTATCTGATTCACTCTGTCATGACAGTTGCCCTCAGTTGTGCTTTGCTCCTCATCTCCAGGCAAAGACGATGAATGAGTTAGTGACCAGATGTGGTCAGGACTTTGTTTCACATTGATGCTATGTCATTAGTCAAGCTGCAAGAAAGAAGTTCCCAGAACACGAAGCCCCCCACCGAGAACTAGAGCAGGCAGGCTCAGAGAAGCAGGCAGCTCTTGCAGGTTAAAGCCAGTGGTGTTCTCCATTGGAACTGCAGAACTAAGTGGGGGACAAAATGGGAGAAAACTGTTCCGTCTTGCCATGGGTACCACATCTACTGCACATTAGCTGGCTCAAGGAGACGATGAGCTTTCCTCACTGACCTGCCTTCCTGAATCATTAGGCTCCAGCAGGACAAAACGAATCAACAGACCCTTGTGAAAGAACAAGACTGCAGGCTTGCGCGCTGTGGCAGTCACACACCAGGAAGCACCCTGAAGCCATGCACTGAGCGGCTGCCTGCCCAACACAGTCCCTAACTGGGACTTGAACAGACAGCCCTGATTGCAACTCCTGCTGCAGGAAACGGCCTCAAGCACACAGGCAGACTTATACTAAACCAGACTTTAGCAAGACCCTGCTCCCCTGAGCATACCACTGATGACAGAAAAGGAGATTTAATGCCCAGCAGTCCAAACAAGACCCCAAAATTTGCAAACAAACGGTTTAGTTGAGGCACAGGTGGATATTGGTGCATAGGGAAACAAAGAAACCCGTGGGGAAAGACCCTGAGGCAGGGCGTTTCTCAGGAAGTGGCCTTTGTCACCATGTTCAATAGAGGACAAGAAGAATGCTCTGTGGCCCTAGGGGCAACAGGGCATGGAATAATGCCTGGTTTTGCTTGATAAGCCTCTTGTCATAGCCATAAATATCTTATGGGACAGATAAGAACCCAAAGGAGAAGCATATTCAGAGAGGCCATTCACATAGCATCCTGGTGTTTTTAGCAACCTGTTCCCATGATGGCTCTACATGGACTGATAATTATTGTCTGGAACAGGTACAACCAGTCTCCTTGAAAGGCTGTCCAATGCAGTGAGTGCAGGCTGGAAGTTACACATCCTGCTACATCACCTTAGGACAACTGGGGTCAACCTACCTCTGTGCTCTGGGGTGTGGGAAGGAAGCCCAGCGCACGGATGTAGAAGCAGTGCTACGAAGGCACCAGCTGCCAAGTCTCTGCGTGAGAGCCAGAGGAAAATCTGTGAAGGAGCTGACACGCTTATCACTTAGATGAACCTAAGCTGCCCTGACATTCATCTGCCCTCCCAGCCACATTCCCTACCCTTATGAAGAGGCAGATTAAAGAGCTCACACAAGGGACTGTGAGAAAAGAAAGACCTTAGGGAAAAAAGCCAGACAGGGCTGCCCTGCACCAGCAGGGAACAGGACTGAAATGGAGAGCGCAACTCCTGCTGTTCACTCAACTCCAGAGGAAGCTCTAGAGCAACGAATGAGCATGGCCCAGCCTAGCTGTGTCCCACAAGGTCACTTGGGTGAGGAAAGCCAAAGGGACAGGACCAGTCTCACGGGGGATCGGAGCTGCAAAACCATTAGAGTCAAGCAACATCTGAAGCAACAAACAAACAAGGGGCAGGAAAGCCACAGCCACGTGACACAGCTTTAGCTGCTGACTGGGATGTGTGCAGCTCCAAAGTGCTCTGCTGTATGGACTGGGATGACAGATGGCCTCCACAGGCTTTGCCATTCCAGGCTGTGCAAGACCCTGAACAAAGGCCTTATCCCTGTACTCCCAGAAGGATCTCACTGCTGGAGACACTGAGGTGTCAGATGCTGGAGAAGGGAAGAATTGGAGAGAGCTGGTTTGGTTTTCACCACCCACTCATCCTTTAACACTCAGTTTTATGCCACTTTCTTCCTGTATGAAAGTCACAAAAAAGGACAGCCTTGGTAAATTATTTATATAAAAGATATGGCAGGACAGGGTGAAGGCATATCCACTACAAAAGGACTAACCTGGAAAAGGGCTACAACAAGAAGACCCAAATTGCAGGCCAGACTAGGCTGAGAGAGCATTCACCTTTCAGTGGAAGAGACCCAAGCACCCCATTCTCTAATATCCAAGTCTTTCCTCCCTCCCCCAAACTTTAATGCACTTTAGGTCTGTACAGACCTACGTTTAAAACACCACTTGGGGTCCTCTGCCCAGTCAATGGAGAGAGATGGATATTTCTGACATCTTGCCTTACGGAGATGCAGCGATGACAGCGGAGAGCGCTGTCTGGAACCAGCTGGACCCGAGGTCATGTGAACACTGCCCTTAAAAGCAAAGTGTGGCCAAAAAGAAGTGCTGATTAATCCAGTCCCCAAGCCCCTGATTCTGAGCCAGACTCCCCCACAAATACCAATACACCCAGCAGTCTCCAGATGTCACAGCCCCATCTCTCCTCTAAGACAGGAACCTGAAGGATGTACATGGAGCCCCGTTTAACTTGATGTCAAAATGTGTTCTTTCGAAGAGGTGGGCTGTTCCCAACATGCCATCCCACCAGAGGCAGCACCAGTTCTGGGACCGCTCAGTCGTCACAACATAACTCGCGTATTTGTATGGGCCAAACCTGCGCCTGCTAATTCCAAAAATAAGAACAGCGCAGGGGCTGCTGCAGGGACTTGCCTGCCAAATAAAAGCAAGAATGCAAGGCCATTTGGTGCCTGAGCATGACAGATGGGGAAAGCCTGACTTAGCACAGCCTCACCCTTTCAAGGAACTGCTGATGGGACAGTAAAGATCAAACACGCATGTAGAGCTCTGCAATTCCTTCTGTTATTAACCTCCCCCTGCTCCCCTCAATCACAGCTGGATCCCATTCATTTACTTCCCTCTCTCTCCAAGCTGGCTAAAAAAAGGACTTGACATCTTTCCTTCCTGATTTTCATGTGCTTACCATTTCATTCCTGACACTATCTGAGCAGCGGAGGGAAGGGGGAGGGTATCTACCTAGAACATCTGGCATCTTGACAGTTTTTTTAAATAGACTTTTAAATGGGGCTAAATAAAGACTCTGTAGCACTCAGAAAAATTTTGCTAGGTCCACAGAAATCCACTTTGTGGGCTGCAATGGAGAACAAATTCTTAGCAGTGTTTTTCCTCACCTAAGGCTAGATCTATCCCTAGATAGTCCCTGGGGTCTGTGGAATAAATTCCATGGGTGGCATAGCCCTATTTTTCTGCACTCTCAGACAGTTCTGCCCACCTATGTGGTCCCTGCAAGTAAGCAGGGGCCGTGGAACAAATCCAGGGGTTTTTTTTTTCCCCTCTCCCATTATGCCAAATTTCAAGTCCCAGCTCTGCCTGGTGATCCACAAAGCTCTTCAGCCTTCGTGCTGCAACCTAGCTCCACTTAGGGAGTATCAGGAAGACCATCCGCCCTAGCAGTGCCAGTTGAGGCTACCTTACCACTAGCCCCGAGCTGGAAAGAGACACAAGCTACATTGCACAGTTAGCTAGTGCAGTTCATGACAGCTGTATTTCTATTTCCCAGGACTGCCAAATGAGCACTACTCAGTGGCACAGAATGATCTAGAAACAGCAACAAGTGACCTGCCAGTCTCTGTATTAGCCATCTGCTCCTCTTTCCCAGCACCCCCAGGAGTCCTCTGCTACCATTCTTTCTTTTTAGAGAAGCCCATTTCCTCTCCATTTTTGATCCCTGTACTTGACAGCTAGGGCCAGAGGCCGCTTCAGAAGCTGCAAGCCCACAGCTAAGCTGTCCAGGATGAGAACATGCTTTTCTGTCCCAAGATGGCAGTGGGACTCCCCCAGATGAAAAGCTGCTGCAAGGAAAAGAACTCCGAAGTTGCCTTCAGCTCATCACCAGCACATCACCAGTAAAGCCCCCTCTCACCCAACCTGCTCAGACAATGGGTTATAGCACAGCTCTCACAGCCAGCAGGGGAACTGAAAAGCTGATTACATGGACCCCAACATAAGACAGGAGAGGCACTCTCCATCCCTCGGGACACCCTACAGAGGTCTGTCAGTGAGATCTGAGTTCCTGAGGACTGGGAGCTGCAGGACACCCAAAGACTCTTAACTGTCCCTTTGCAGATGGCAGGGTATGCTGGCCAGATCTGCCTTCCCAACCCACCAGGCAGCAAACCCAGAATCATCCACCCGCAACCCCAATATCCTTTATGCCTGCCCTAAATACAGCAACATGCCCTCACACAATGCCTCTGGGCACTGGATTCAATGTGCCTTTCATTAAGCCAGACAAAGATTCACAGAAGCTGGTTTGAAAGGGCTGAGAAATGGTCTGGTACAGTCTCGATTCTGCTTGTGCCAAGAGCTCTCTCATCCCTGACAAAGCAGCTGCTGGGCCGTCCCATCCTCTCCCTATGCCTCCCTAGGGACCACTAGAACCAGACTTTGTATGGGCCCAGTGCAAACTAACACACAGCTCCAAACTTCACTTTAGACTAACTGGATTTTGAAGAACCATTTTTTTTTTCTACAAACCCTTCCACTGATTCAGTCCCTGGACTGCCAAGTTGCAACTGCACAGGGTTGCTCCTTGCACAGTACGGGGGAAGAGCACAGTCACTAGGGGCACAGAGGCAAACAAGGGACTTACTTGTAGGTTTTGGTTCTGTCCAACCAGATGCCGGAGATCAGAGCCCCGGCCATCCCCGACAGTATAATGGTGAGTCCAATCCTGCCAGCATTCACCTCCTCCCCCTGTGGTGAGACACACACACACTCACACAAATGCAGGAGCCAAGTCATAGCCAACAAGAAGCAAAGTGCAGAGAACCCAGAGAGGAAGAGACACCAAAGTTAGTGTCCCATACATGTCTTCTGCTGGTAACACACTAACCAGAACTAGCCTTTGCAAGAACACTTTTCGGCCTAATATGAGCCAATGCAGTGCCCTATTCTGACCCATGAAGAAAAGTGTTTTGGCACTTCTCTCTGAGCCAGCCCAGAGAAAAACGTGAGCACTGGCCAGCGCGAACAGACACTCTCAGAGGAGTCAGCGTAATCCCGATGAAGCTTGCTGTCTGGTGTTAGGATTTGGGCCAGATCGACCAGGAAATATTGGGACCCACTGTAAGGCAGCACGGAAAGGAGCTCTCTGGCACGCAGCCCCAGCAGTAAGCTCTACAGTAGCTCAGCTACTGAGGCACCCCACCCTTCTGCCACCAGAGCGTGAGTGTGGGCAGCCTCCTGCTACAGATGTCCCGGTAGAAATCACTGTCAGTTACAGGGTGGAGGCAATTGCTGGAAAAATTTCTCAGAAGAAAATGCTGTCATTTAGGGTGTAAAGGAGCTGTCTTTGCTAGAGCTTGCCAGCTTTTGCACGGGGTGGTGTAAAGAACTAAAGGAACCAATGCTCTCCTGCCAGCCAGACAGCCAACTTGTGCCACAGACAGCCAGAAGCGCTGCGGCATTGCATTTATCACAGAGCCAGTGCTGGACAACAGCAAGCATCAGAGGGCCGTGAGGGTTGGATGCACTTACTGGGTAATGATGGAT